TATATATACTTTGTGGGGTCTGCCACGCCTCCTTCTGCCTGTTACATACATTTTAACAAAACCATTATACCCTGATTTCCCATTTTCAATGGGTTCAGGGTATAAAAATCGACAAACTTACTCTTAATAAAAAAAATGAGGTTCCTACATACTTTGCTTTTAATAGATGTTTTTATTATTGATACAAAAATGTAAGTTATACAAACACCAGTTGTTACAATAACAAATTTTTAATTCTTTGCTTTTAAATCTTCTTTAAAAACGAAATAAACATTCGTCACGAATTGTAGTCTCCTATCAAATGACCAAGAAATTTCTAACTTGTATTCCCCAGTTGGCATAGTATGTGGCAGGTAGTTCCATCTGGGATAAAAACCATCAACGATTTGCATGCCCTGTTGAAAGTAAATTAGCTTGTTCTCCAACACTGGCACAATCTATTACTTACCACATAGGGGCATGTGTGGTTAAAGTTTGTAAATTCTAACAAGAGTTTGCTTATGAGTATAGCAACTGGATTAAAAGGTTTCTTCATAAAACGGCAAACATCAATTGAGGTATTTATAAGCCATGGTTTGTAACCGTTGGCCTTCTGATAGAGTTCAAATCGGGCATTAATTGTATTTGCAGGATGCAGAAAAAACGCATTCGCATACATGCACGTTTTATTCCGACTTAGGGCTCGAAGTCTGCACGTATCGATGCGAACCCACGATTTGTTGTAAGAATCGCAAACCAGATTCGTCATCTTGAATTCAATGGCTCCAGCTCCCTTTTGAAATATATAAAATGTTTAATATGCACATATGTATGTATTTTAATTCCATTTTGAGGCCAACTTACATTGTAGCTCAGTCTGAGAGTTACTAAGAGCTGAATAATAGTGCAAGCAATAAGAAGATGAGTCCGCATAGCGATTGTACTCGAATGACATCCGACTTTTGAATAGTTAATACGTATAATAATATTTCATTAGCAATATATCCGCATCAGAGAACACTAATATCAAACAAAACAGATGAATTCGTATTTAATATTAATACGAAAAATCAGTCAATTAAATAACTATTATTTATTAATTAATAATGTATATTTATTTGTGTATTCAACTAGAAAAATTTCAGAAAAGGTACATACGTACATACAAAGTACATGGCTTGCTTCAAAGCCATACTCATTCCCAAATATTTCAATTGGTGAATACATATAGTGTCATGACTTCTGTCTGTTCCATACATTAAAAAAAAAAGATTAGTTATATCCTAAGTGTAACTTTTAAGTAGATAATTGATCATCCGACGTATATTATATTATTATGTTATATTATATTATATTATTATGTTATATGGTGAAAGATATATTTAAATACATTGCAGTAGTACTACTAAATAATCGGGAGTCGATAATACTTTCGTTATGCGGACTCTTATCATTGCTTGCGCTATTATTCAGCTCTGAATATCTCTCACACTGACCAACAATGTAAGTCAGCATCACGATAAAGCTAATATATATAATGTGTTAAATTATAATATATACATAAATAGATGTATATTAAAATTATAAAAATTATATAAATATATATAAATTATAATTTCTCAAAGATTTTACTCTCTTCTTGATACAGAAAGTTCTTCCCATTTATGTTTTGGCTTAACATACAATTTGCACATTTCAGTCAATAACGTCAATTCTCTTCTCTATTTCTCTTTCTCTTGTGCCTTTCCTTTCTAACAACAAACAAATGACAAACACTTTGCAAATATCCAAGCTCGAAATGTGCCAGTCACAGTCTGGCAATCAAGTCAAGCCAAGCCAACCCATGTCTAACCAACCAAGCAACCATCCATCCATCTATCCATCTAGCTAAACTAAACAAACTGACTAAATATTTAATTACTGGCATTTTGTTACGGCGCTCGCGGCTAATTTGCTGTTTAACTGTTTAGCTCCACAGTTTGTATGGAGTATCTTGTATGGGGTATTCAACTCCCAGTCTGAGTCAGAGAAGTTGGCCCAACTATAGGTCAATATGATAAAATATTCAAACCGTAAACAAAACGGTTTTGTTTATGTCATAGTTTTTGTGTTTGCTTTCAAAACTTTGCAGTTCTAATGGATTACATAAGACCCAGGTAAAGCCAACTTCTATCCATATTCAATCAACTTTGGCGATGCGTAGCAAATCAATCTATCAAGTTGTCAACCAAGCAACTTCACAACATTGGACGTTCATTTGATTAAAATGAGAAATATTTATGTATTTTTTATATCCCGACCACATTGAAATTTAGAATGATTTTTTGAGAAATATATAATATTCTTGATTAAATATAAGTGAAGTCTAGCCATCGGCGCCTCTCAGACAGCTCGCCTGCTCTGGCTCTACTCGGTCAACATGGAGGTCTAATGGCATTTCTATCTTATCGAATGCTAAGCGCCAACAGATATAAACAAAAATATATTAACATTATTGTTATCAAATAGCTGTTGAGCACATTAGAACAAGTCCCGTTTGAATTGCATCAGCCGCAAGCATATCAATGGATAGATAACAATAATATAATATCAACTTGTCTTTGTTTCTCTTTCGAATTCCCATGCGATCTGCCGTTTACAGTAATCTTATAGGTGTTGCTTTAGATAATCTATTGCTTGTTAAGCATATGATTCATGAAAAAAAAAATATATGCATATAAATAGAATAAGTTTATATAATATGTAAGTGATAAAAGCTTCAGTCATAATCTTCTTATCTGTTTTAGGTCTATATTTATCATTAGAGTACAAGTACTTTGTATATTCTCATAACTTCTCTCTCTCTCTCTCTCTCTCTCACTCTCTCTCTCCTACTCTCTATGTTTCTAATCTGTTTTGAAGTACATATCAATCAGCTGTTTGCTTATATGTAATCTTCATTATATATAAATTTAAACCATGTGAAAATTAATATTATATATGAATAGGCAACTACCGGAATATGCCCATTAATTGAAAAGCAACTACAACTTTCGGTAATACATTGATCTATATTAGCTTATTTACAGGGTATGCTATGGTAGCAAATGTTTTTGCTATAATAACACTGATATAGCGATAACGACGGTAGAGAGCGTGCAATTGGAAGCAACGCTCACGAAATGACAAATACTGAACGGGTTAATTTCGCAAGTCCCAACAGCTTTTATCTATCAAGTATTTTATATTGAGTGCTCATAGAGAGAGAGAGAGTCGTCGTATAAATACTTGTTTGCTGTGTAGCACAAATTTAGTTCCAGCTGAGACTTGCGGGTGGTTAGAAGCGTTCTATTCGCATTTAACAGAGTGAAGATCAAGGTCGTCAAGTAACTGCTCCACTAGAAATATGGATCTTACTTTGTTGCTGGCCCTGGTGGGCCTTTTTTACTTCACTTACAAATGGGTAACGGCACGGCACAATGAGTTTGTGGTGCGTGGACTGCCCTTCGAGAAACCCTTGCCCATTTTCGGTAACAATGTCGATGTTGTGATGAATAGGGCCTCATTCCAGAAGCTCGTTTCTGAGTTTTATGCTCGCACGCGACAGCAGTAAGTAATCAAACGCACCCCAGACCTATCTCAAGTATTTCCTGTAAGCTTTTTGCCTTGATTGATCTATAGCAAACTGGTGGGCTACTTCAACTTTCGCACGCCCATGATACAAGTGAACGATCCGGAGCTCATTAAGAAGATCACCGTGAAGGACTTTGAGTACTTTCCAAATCATCAAACCTTCTTTTTCACCAACGAGCGATTGATTAACGATATGTTGAGCGTGATGAAAGATCAGCGCTGGAAGCACATGCGCAACACCCTAACGCCTGTCTTCACGTCGGCCAAGATGCGCAGCATGTTCGGACTGATGAACGAGAGCTTTGTCGAATGCATGGATCATTTGGATCAGATGTCCAAGACAGCTGTCAAGCCCGGCGAGGGCTTCGAACTGGAACTGAAGGAGGTGTGCAATAGATTGTCAAACGATTTGATTGCAACCACAGCCTTTGGTCTGAAGGTCAGCTCATACAAGACGCCAGATAATGATTTCTATGAAATCGGCAAGTCAGTAGCCTTCTTCCGCGGCAAGGCTCTGTACAAATTTATGCTGTCTGCAACTATGCCCACATTGTTTAAGGTATGTTTGTCTATTAGATAAGACATTTGCCTAGACTTGAATTGAATTCAATTCCTTTCTTTGCAGCTTCTCGGTTTCAAAATCTTCGACTCGCAGAAAACAGAATTCTTCATTCGTCTTGTTGTCGACGCCATGAAATACCGCAAGGAGAATAATATCGTGCGACCCGACATGATTCAGCTGCTCATGGAGGCCAAGAAGGAGTCCGCGGAACAGTGGAGCGACGATGAGCTGGTGGCTCAGTGTTTCATCTTCTTCTTTGCGGCATTCGAGAATAACGCCAGCTTAATATGCACCACCGCCTACGAGCTACTCAATAATCCCGATGTGCAGGAGCGGCTCTACGAGGAGGTCAAGGAAACACACGAAGCGCTGAAGGGTGAGACGCTTAACTATGATGCGGTCACTAAGATGAAGTATTTGGACATGGTTGTATCCGAGTCTCTGAGGAAGTGGGCACTGGCCGCTGCAACGGATCGCGAATGTGTTAAGGACTATACGCTCTACGATGACGATGGTACGAAGCTATTCGAGTTCAAGGCGGGCGATCGCATAAATATACCCATCATTGGTCTACATTTGGACGATAAATTCTTCCCCGAACCGCACAAGTTCATACCGGAACGCTTCAGCGACGAGAACAAGAATCAGTTAGTGCCCTACACGTATCTGCCCTTCGGAGTGGGTCCACGCAATTGCATAGGTGAGTGAACTCAACGAAATATCGGAGAACTCTGTTCAATAATCCACATTCGACTTTCCTCAATTCCTTTTTTTATAAGTTTCTGCTACATTAATCGTCGTATGGTTGTGTATTCCAGGTAATCGTTATGCTCTGATGCAGGCCAAGGCCATGTTGTACAATCTCGTGCTCAAGTACAAGATCGAACGCTCTCCCAGGACTGTCACAGATCTGCTGAGCGATTCGCGTGGCTTCCAGCTGACACCCCAGAACGGCTACTGGGTGCATTTGGTGCCCCGCAAATAAATCGATTGAAACACAAATTGTTATTCGTTGAATTTACATTAAAATACACATATGCATATTGTATATTTATTTATATTGTTATTTTTGATTATGTTTCCATACACACTGACTTTAATACTAAAGATAGACTTAAGATCTAACTCCATTTATAGACAATTGGTAATACTTAAGACTCGTCATATGTATGCGTTCCACACCTATATCTGGCTTAACTTTCCAAATTCTTTCACATTTTATAGACATCATAAATTTTGCAAATGCCTTTTACGTTATTGTTTTATTTATTTTTTACAAGTTTCATAAAACACGAAAAAAAAACTTTCTCAAATATTCTGGACACATTCAGCTTTTATATAACTCTTTCACTTTCACACAGGCCAACGGGCGAAAGCCAAAGCATTACATAAAAGCCTAAATATACCCATAAAAAAAAAAAAAAAACAAAAAAATCTTTTGCCAACAAAATTTTAGAGATATAAAACTGTATATAAAGAACTATATATATAAATGTATATATATGTATATATGTTTGCATATGTTTATCTGTAACTATGTAAAGTAGGGTCTCAACGTGGAGAGGGAATTTTCTTTATAAGTTATTGCACATTTGCTATGCGAAAACTTTCGCTCTTTTCTCACTATTTCTTATTGTTTTACACACAAATTCTTTTGTTGGCAGTTGCTTTACATCATTATTTATTGTTCGTTGCATATTTTTTTGTTTTTTGTGGCTGGCAGATTCTTAGCTCTATACTATTATCAATATTTATACAGTAAAGTAAATATAATAATATCTATATGTAAATGCTTGATATACCGTTTAGATTTGTACAAAGTTCTTGATAAAATCAGTGATATCTTATATATATAAATACTCGGAATACTCGTGAGCTGGAGAATGTAGTAGGAAAGAAAAAAGCTAGCTGCATAGAATGGATAAATATCATGTACAAGAAGAATAGAAAAGAGAGAGAAAGAAAAGTAAGAAATGTTGTCTTACCAGCTCACATTACAGCTAATTTAAATGCCCGGAATCCTTAGTGTATAGTCAATATTTCTCATATATGTGTTTGTATGTCTGTATATATGTATGTAGTATTTATCGATATGTCTATGTACACACTTTGCCATTGCAACACGATTTCAAACGCTATATAGACGCTGTGCATTGCCCGGACGCGCCTTACCCAGCCCGAAGAAGTTCCAGACGCGCCTTAGGCAGCCCGGCTTCTTCTCGGGCAGCAGACTGAGGCTCTGCTCCTCGAGTATGGTGTCCAGGATGTAGTAGCTACTCAGATTCAGCGGCGGCGGCGGCAGCATTGGAGGTGGTCATGATATTGTGCAATTCTTGCTCTCGTGCATAATTGCGGGCATTGTGGCAGCCGGAGCGCCCAGACAGCTGCCCGTCGAGCTGCCCAGCTGGCCATTATTGTCGCCCGACTGGGCGAGCTTCTTCTTGCGCTCGTAGGCCAGCGCATCGTTGGGCACGTAGGCGACACGCACACCGCCGTAATGCTTGCGGGCGGGCAGCCGGTACACATAGTCATCCATGTCGCTGGAGGAGCTCGAAGAGCAAGTGGAGCAGATGCTCGCCACATCGCAATTGTCCAGATTGTTAAGCAGATTCAGTGCACCGCTGCCGGCCTGGGTTTGGGCATTGTGCAGCCGTAGATTCGTCTGATTGATCTGCATCTCCGAGGAGCTGCGCGATTGATTGCGCCGCCGTCGGCGTCGTCGCGCATTCGAGTTGTCCGTGTAGCTCTTCGAGCGGGACATCGTGTCCTGCACGCTGTGGAAGCGCACTTCCTTCAGCGGCGGCCGATTGTCCAGCTGCTGCTGGCCGTGCTCCTCCTTCTCGTTCTGCTTGGTCGCGAAGAGCTGCTCGTAGCCATCGTGCGGCAGCTGCAGCTCTCGCACTGACTCATTGTCCAGCTCCAGCTCGTTGCCCAGCTCCTGGGTGCTCTGCGTCATGTCCGAGTTGCTGGGCGAGTTCAGATTGATCTTGTCTATGCTCTGATAGCTATGCGAGTCCTCCGCCTTGGACAGCAGCATGTCGGGCATGGAGGATGTCAGCTGCGTGTCGCCAAAGATCGACTTGTCACCTGAGCAGATGTTGTCCAGGCTGATGCCCAGCTCCGTCAGATCTATGGGCGGCGGATGGGCGGGTCGCGGCATGCCAGGCACACAGCCGCCCAACAGCAAATCGGCCACGCCCGCTGCCTCCATACGCTTGCGCTCCTGCCGCTCCAGCAAGTCCCCGGCGCTGCCCGTGCTCTTGCCACCATGTCCGTGCCCATGGCCATGGCCATGCCCGTTGCCCACCCCAGTCTTGCCACGCCCCGCCGTGTCGGCTGTGCGTCGCGGCGAGCGCGCGATTTGGCTGGAAGTGGAGGCGCGATGCGTGGGCCGCAGCTGCGGACCGGAGCTCGTGTCCGAAGGCGTTGGCGGCTCGCCCTTGCTGCACGCTATTGAGCAGTAAATGGTGCCACGGCGCGGCAGAAACGGACGGCCCAGCAGCGAGCAGCGGCACGTGCAGCAGGAGAAGCACTGATCCGTCGCATGCCAATGCTGACCATCGTGGCTCATCTGGCCCTGATCCACACCAATGACCTCGCCGCAGTAGTCACAGTACTCGGCGAACATGGTGTCAAAGCAGCCCAAGCAATACGGCTTGCCCTCGCGCATTATGTAACGCTGGCCGCCCAGCTGATGCTCGCACTCCTGGCAGGCGAAGTGCTTCATGTGCCAGGTGCGACCCTCGGCCTCCGTGCACTCATCCGAGAAGATGATCTGTGTGGTGGATGAGAAGAGCAAGCGAGATGGTAGATGGTGAATGAAAGTGAAATGTGGATATAAAAGAAATACATATACATATATATAACCCAACCTGAAGAATTCTAATTTAGTTTCGTTACTCACCTCATCGCAAGCGGAGCAGCGCGGCTTCTGTGTTTCGGCATGATGTCGGCCGCAGTAGAGATTGCCATCGCGATGGAAGTATATCAAGTCCATGAGCAGCTCCTTGCACACACTGCACACAAAGCAGCCGGGATGCCAGCAGACTTGGGCGCCCAAGCGCTGGGCAAAGACCACAATGTCACCGCCGGAGAGCTGTTCATTGCACTGCAATGAGAAGAGAGAGAGGCATTAGATATATATCGTATAAATAACAAAAATATGCTCAAGTTCTGCAGGGAGAGACAGTGTGGCGATAGAAATCTGCAGCGTCTGCTTTGGTTGGGCAAAATATTTAAGCGACTATAAATGCTAAATAACGGTAATAAAACGCTTAAGCCCCCCAAGCGAGGACACGGCACACAGAACCAGCACGAGAACAGAACGCCAAACGGCCCCGTCCCTCAGCCATCCCTCGCCCACACTCTCACGATTACTTTGTGGTTTTCTTTTTCACAACGGAAATAATGCAAAAATAGCTGCCGGCCATGTGCCCGGCCTCGTCGCAGAAGTGCTCCCTAGAGAGTGGAGAGGAAAAACCAGAAGACTTTAAACTGTTTGGATAAAACACGGAGCACGAAACACGAGAAAAGGCCGCAAGGAAAATTCTGGTGTTGGTGTCGCACTCGCAATACGAGAGGAGTCAAAGTCGGAGCAGGAGTAGGAGTTACTGCTGCTCTGGTTGTTGTCACGGAGCCCAAACGGAAGCGCAGTTTTAATGACTCAACCTCAACTCGTTAAAGTTGAAGCAATTCGCATAATGAACTCATTTACGTAGAGCAAGCAACGTAATAGGGTCAAGAGAGCTAATGTCTTCGTACACTGCTTAAGGAATATGTTTGCTTTCCTAGAACGAAAAACTTCCCTGAGGGCGGCAGCTATATGGGATTCCTAGTTACTTGGAGCTGAGCTCTTTTAAGGAAATGCGGAAGAACATGCGGTAAACAAGCTAATGCCATGGCGCTGTTATATGAGAGCATTATTAATAGATTCACATAGGTTCAGCAGCATTAGAAAAGTGAGCTTAAATAATACCAAAACTGAACACTAAATACATCTTGTAGAAGTATATATACTTGGATCTACAGCAAGCAACATTACTCTGATTTTATAACGAATTGATCTGTGTATTAGCTGAAAATAGAAACATTTAAGCTTCATCATATGGAAGATTTATTGCTTTCTACACTGAAGAAAATTAGTCCCTTTCTTGGATACAAATAACTATTATCTTTTTGACTAATGAAAGCTTCTGAGCTGCAGATAATGAAGTTCATAATTGAAATAAGCCCTTAATTGCACTGAAAAGAATAAGTCATTCGAAAATACTTTTACTTTTGTGCTAAGCTCATGAGAATCAGGTTGCAAATGGTATACTCTGCTAATATCTTTCCCACGAATACATTAGGCTATTTAGCTATAGTTGTCATATCTGAAACATAAATAGAATTCCATTAGATACCTACATTTCTAAGAAGTTCGAGCTAACTTTTTAATAAGTTCTAGCCAAGTTAATGTCTTTGTTGTAGAGCCGGATACCCGACATTTTAGTTTTATTTCTTTTTCGGAAACCTATTTGCCACTTCTGAGAGCCTTTGAGAAGGATATCTCCCCAGCTCCGTTCCATTTTATGAGCATGCAAAGCAATTAACGCAATTGCCCTGATTTATGAATGCTATTTTGGTGGCCCACGCCAAAAAAGTTGCGGCACATGCGAAGCGGCTGCCATTTTGCGGCTAGCCAGCCCTTAGGCCCCAAACCCTTTTGTTCGTCGCTGAGCTTTTAGGTACGACAAAAGCCGTCGCCAATTTGCGCCATTTTCGTTTCAGCTAGCGTTTCCTGTACTGGTTGGCTCACCCCCCAACCCACCGACCGCGCGTCCACGATTCGCGCACGCAAATTACCCCAGCAGGGCCGCAAAAGCCACAAGACGTTGCAAGGACATTGTTGGAGTGCTGTGGAGTGGTAGAACTGTTGACTAGGCTGCTTGCAGCTTCTTAACTTTCCAGGCTATTAAACCTCAGTCGGATGCCAGTCGGTTGGCCTAACCCCTCCCCTCACCCCCACGCCCGCAATCAACATTTACTTTTGCAAGCCATTAAACATTGACAGCCAGTACCTCCCAGGCGCCAGCTTCAGCTTCAGCCCCAGCTCCAGTTTCTGCTTACAGGGCTGATAATTTCCTTGGCCTGACAACTTGGCCCACTGCATGCGTCGTTAATTGTTGCCAACGTCGTCTCGTTCCCCCTTCACAATGGCACAAGCAGCCGCCACGCACTTTAATTAGGCTCAAACCCAGGCCCAGTCGCTAATGATGTATTTTTGCGCATCCTGTTGCGGTTGAGGCTTACGTCTTTCTCTAGTTTCTCTTTTTCGGTGCCAGCACTTTGTTGTGGCTTAGACAACTTTTGGCCGGAACAAGTGCACTGAGTAAGTAAAACTTACTTATTCTGTGGCTAAACTAAATTGCAAGTGCAAAAGTTTTGCTAGTTCCCCTTGCCATGTGTCCACTTAAAAGGACATTTTTCAGGATTTTCGCCACTGCCACTGCTGCTGCTGCCAAATGTCGTGTGCTTAACAGCAATCGCTGCTCATTTATCTTATCAATCCAATTAATCCCAGTCGCCAGTCGCCAGTCGCCATGCAATTGATGAACCCTAAAACGTGGAGTCCTCCAGCGCTGCACTGCAGACAATTATGCTATTGACAAATTGTACCTGGCTGCCACGCGGAGGCGCCACCTGGCAAACAGCCCTAGCTGGCTGCTTCTGTTCGTACGTAACCCATTTCGTCTGTCTGTCCTAATCCGAACTTTGGCGCTGTGCCCGACAAACTTTGCAGCACCAACAAGCAAGACAATTTCCTGCCCAATTCTGCTCTACCTCGCCCATTTCATTTATTCCCTCTCTCTCTATCTCTCTCGCTCATTGCACAGTGCCTTCAAATTATTAATGACGCTCGTTATCGTGCCCTTTTCAGTACATAAACTTTTTGCTTAACAGGCACAGCGAGGCAACAATATTTGCCAGCTACCTTTTATTTGCACTCCCCCAGTTCAGTGGAAAAAATACTGAAAATATATTTCATGGCATTTTCTTAATAATTATTTTGTATTTCATCGTTGCCGGGACGACCTTTAGTGTCACATCCTTGTCAAGCTCGGCTGTCACATCCGCTCAGCTCTCTACAGTTGACTCCATTGTTGTTCGTGTGGAAAATCGGAGCTGGCCAAATCATTTGCTAACTCTGTCTCTCACTCTGACTCTGACTCTGACTCCGTGTCCCTGACCCCGACTCAGATTCCAAGTTTGACGCACGTTTCTGGCCTTGTGCTGCGACTCATTTACGCTTGACTGAATTTGAGTGCTTTTTGGCAGCATCAGCAGCGACAGCAACGACAGCAGCAAGGGAGTAGACATCATTCAGGCTCATTGAGCGTTTTCATAAATTTCCTTTAAGCATAATTTCTGCTTGGCTATCCTCCGCGCATTTCCCTTTACCCAGAGCCCGGCCCTCGCCAGATTCAGTGGGCGGCATTTGCTTTGTTCACATTTTAACCTTCGTTTAGCAAGTCGCAGTTATGGTTTGTGAATTTTAAGTAGCCAAGCTCGGTGCTGTGTGCACTGGCTCTGGCTCGTCAGTTTCTGCTCATCACATTTAATCTGACTTGGCTTATCAGATTTCATTAATATGGCATTCATCTGCAGTTGAACTCGAATGCTTTGACCCGAATAAATATTCATTTACAGCTGGCTAAAGGGCAGGAATTTTTCTAGTTGTCACGCTGAATCTACTAATTGAATCTATATAAATATTTATTATATAGTATATGCATCTGCTGCTACTCCAGCTTAACTACACTATTCCTCATTTCCTTCAACAGAATCTTAAGAATTTATATCTCACGTTAAGCTGAGTTGTGCAAAAACAGTTTAGCTTCAGATTAACCGCAGTCATTAAGCAACCGCTATATACCAAACTTATTTATGACTACCTAACGGTATTTATTTTATTTCTTTTCTATTTTCGTTTATATAACTCTCTCCCTCTCTCGTTCAATTGATTGCTTAACTCTAACCAAAATAATTATATAAATACCGTGATAATAGCCACATTAAATTTTTATTAAATATTTATCTTTTTTAATTTACAACACATCTTTGAATTTTATTGCATTTCTAGTTATTACGTTATCTAAATTCACATCAAAATTTAATTGATCATATATATCTTTTCTTATTTGCTCACGAAGTATGCACACTTTCCTTTAAGTAATCAAAATTGTCGCCCATTATAGAAACTTCTCAACTTTTAATACCCAGCAAACTCTGCTGCAGGTAAACTTTCAACTGTATAATTTCCAGTGGTAAAAGTCGCATCATAAATAACTAAACTGTCCTATAGGGTAAGCCCTTGAATCATTGATCAAAACATATGAAATCAAATATGTGACTGCACTTTGGCATTAAGCATGAGTGGAGAGGACAAACTTGGCTTGAATTGAAAACTTCGCACGCTGTTCACGCGTCTTGTCTCTCTAATGAACTCTGAACCTGGCGTTGGCCCGGTCCAGTGCTGGTCCTGGTCCTGGTCCCGGTCCTGTCTGCCATATAAGTCGTTGCGGCAAGGCGTAATAAATGCAACTTGGCTGCCAATTTGGTCGTCGTCTCCCACCGAGCAGCAAGCCATAGCCAAAACCAAAGAAAATCACTGGAAAAACTTGGGCACAACTTTAATGCCAGGCAACACCTCCGACGAGCCGCAACGCCCACGCACGTAGCAGACAGTGAGGCATCTGGCTGGCTGGCTGGCCAAGGGGTGCGGTGGGGATCGGACAAATGGATGCTGCAGTTGCTGCTGCATGTCCAACCCGTTGCCCAGTCGCAGACACGCAGCACTGCGTGGCAGCATGCGGCATAAACTTTTTAATAAGTTTTACGAGTGGCGAATGTGAACACAATAAAATCAAGCTCCACAACTATCTGCGGCAGACAGTGGGAGCCATGGATCGACAATGGCGACGGCAACGGGAACAGCATCGGGATACGGTATCAGGGTTATGGAATATGGTATGCAGCAGCAGCAGCAGCAGCAACAGACAGGCCAAGTTGAAAGTTGAAGCTGAGTTGGTTAGCCAGCACGCACTCCGCTCCAGAGACTGCCAAGCTAATAACAATGCAAATTCTGTGCATGAGGGGGAAAATATTTCACTACCTTCTGCTGAAGGGGCAGCTACTGCTACTACAACACTATTTTATGCTACAAGCATTGTGCTTTAGTGCCATTTCACTGCGTTGAACAGTTTCTCTCCCTAAATATACATATACAACTATATAGATATATATATATATGTATGTACATTCACTTTTCGCTCTATGCTGCAGTCCAAAAAAACTGACAAGCAGATTGGACTTAGCAGTGCGCGACTAGCAGCTGACCTGGGAATGTTAATCGGCTGTAATTTCTAGAGATAATATTTATTATTGGAAGACATATTCATACAGTGTTTCTATAAGCTATAGCTAATAATCTTGGTTAGTTTATAATGAACAGTCATTATTTCTAGCTGAGCCTGAGAACATAAGCAAAATTCCACTAAGCCAGAGTTATTAAGGAATATTTGTCTATTTTGTCAATTACACTGTTATTATTATTTTTTTTTTTTTAAGTTATACAAAGCTATAGATATATAGAGCCCTTAAAATTTCTAGTTTCTGAATATTCCCTCATTTTTCTTCAATATCTATTAATCTAAATTGAGCATTTGTACTACCTCAGCTAAGCTTAGCCTTAGCTTATGATTAACAGATTACTCCCTGATCAAGTCTTCGTCTTCAAAAAACTTAAATGGCATTAATACTCTATTTCATAAGTGACGTAATTGCCGCAACTCCCACAGCTAAATTGCTTCCATTATCGCTGCTGCTCTCATAGTTTCAATACAGCTTTTGATATCCACTTTATAGGGTATTTGAAATCAACTTTCCGCACTCCATAGTCCACACATTTGAGTGCCGTAGCGCGCAGTCTATGCGTGAGTGTGTGTGTGTGTGGAGCGTGGAGTGGCCTTTTGTATTGCTGTTTGCAATGGCAGTTGCTGCAATTGTTTCTGCAACAACGTTTTTCATTTGCAGTTTTTCGCCTTGTTGCAGCACTTTGCCGTTTGCTGAAAGTGTACTTAATGAAATCTTTTTGTCATCTTTTATTTGAGACGCTGCCAACTTGCGATACGACGCGACGCGACGCGACGTTTGAAAGTTAACCGTTGGCCCCCGCCCAGCTCTGTTCCCCTGCACCGACCAACGAGTCCCTTATTGTTTCTGGCAGGCGCCATTGTCAATTTTTTTCTTCGTTTTTGTTCATTTTCATTCCACCCACTATTTCAAGGCATCCAGCGAGTCCTGTCAAAAGTCAAAGTTTGCGCTAAACTTTGCCTCGACTGGGCGCGCTGGCAAAAAATGAAATCGAAACTCGCCTTTTCTTCGGGCCGCCGCCTTTGTTGCTCATAATAAAATGCAAATTTCTTGGCTCACAATTAAGTTGAAGGAGAACAAAGACAGGGACAGAGGGAGGGAGAGTGGCAGCAGAAGGACTGTAGATGAGCTTGCATATTGTACTTACCCCCTTGCAGGGCCTTTCATCGGACAACAGCCGCACCGCTCCACGTCCGAGTGCTTCCCGCTTGCGCTGCGCCGAAAATATTCGCAGCTCCTTGCGCTCCTCGTCGCTCAGCGAGTGGCAATAGCGCACCTGCAATGGCAAAAGCAAAGGTAGAGGTTATGGGCAAGCATGTTTAATGGTAGCTGAAGATCGGGCTGGAGCGAACTTTTCTTGTATTGTAAATATTAATTAAAATCTCTTTTACAGCAGCTCAAAAAAGGCAACGCCAACTTTTTTAATCTCGCACTGCAGCAGGGGGGCGTGCCTTGATTTTGTATACAAATTTATTCTTCCCTTTCTTTTCTCTTGGCATACACTAGCTGGGGAGCTGCTCTACTTATACTTGACAGTTGCTGCAGCTAACCGAATCTATTATCGTTGACTGAGCTTATTTAATAATGATCTTATATGTTGGCCTATCTGAATTGAGCAACTAGAAGGAATGATTGCAATTTGGCTTAAATCATGATATGAAGGTATAGCAAAAATAAACTTTTTTTCTTTAAAGAAATCTACAGAAAACGATTATTAAATATTTTTGTAATTGATGTTTTTTTTTTTTCGAATCATTTATTTGATTGTAAACTTTTAGAGAAGAGACAAATTTAATTTTCATTTTATTTTTTTTAGCCGTATAACACATTTAGTAAACTTTTAGTCCTATGCAATCTGTTCTCATTTACTACACCATCTGCTAGGGTATTCTATCTTCTATCAAGCTAAAACTGGTCTTTTTCCATTTAGTGTCACTTTGGTTGCGTTTCGATATTCTTAAAAGAAAAACTTGGCAAACGCTCTCTCTCCTCCACATTAACTGCATTTTTATGATGCCCGAGTTCTTTTTCGCATCGAGTGCTCCCTAGTGCTACCAAACTGATGAGTCGAGTCCTTTCTGGCTGTCGTCTTCGCTTTTTGGCTAATACTCACTTCGTTATCTTGGGGCGGCAGCTGGTGCAGCAATTGTTTCACGCGATACTTTTCCCCCGGACTGTTGACGTAGGGCACTTTGTCGTCCGGCAGTTGGCTGAAGTACAAGCGAACCTGTTAACGAGCAGATAAAAACGAGACAGAGACAGAGAGAGAGGGAGTTAGAGATTGTTCATAATCAGATATAAAAACTTAAGCACTGCAGTTATATATATATTAGCCATAAACTTTAGCTTTAACGATTTGGCGACAAATTCCGTGGGAAGCGTTTCATTAGGGACAAGCCATAACGAATTAATCAACGTCCACTGACAAAACGCTTTCACCGACCTGGCCAAAAGCCAATAACAACAATGCACGCCCACAGCGCAAATATCGACAAGCAAAAACCAACAAAAAACATAAAAACAAAAGTAAAAGCCACGCTGCAAAACGTGCGAAAGTGAAAAAATGTCGCGAAAAAGTCATGAGCCAGCAGAATGGCAGGGGAAAAACAGAAACAATCGAACTGCCCAAACGATTACAGTTCGATTTTTCTGCCATTTTCGTTTAGTTTTTCCCGCGCCCGTTATGCAAGCGACGACTGGACTGAATCCAAAATGCGGGCAACAAGCGCTTTAATTACAAAATGCTTTCGCTTTTCGGATCGATTGCCAGCCGCCAGATTGGGGCGATAATTATCGAACCGAAAAAACAAAATGGAAAAGCCGCTTTTCACCGGCAATTAAACTGCTCTCGAATTTCCTTAAGCGCGGCGTCAGTGAACTGGCGCGCTGGTTGTGATTTTTGGGGCCGTGGCCAAGGCAAAGCGAAATCAAAAGTCAATTGCCCACGGCAGGTGGTCAAAAAGAAAACCACATGGCAACCACATGGAAATCAATGCAGCCGTTGGCTTTTTGATTTCACCTAATTAGCTGCGACAAATTGCAGCCATGTGTGTTATGTTTGCGGACCACGCCCCAACGCCCCAACGCCCCATTGCCCATTGCTCACCTGATCGGGTCGCAGACCCGGCGGCACCCAGGTGTACTCCTCCAGAGCACAGCCACTGTCGTCGTCCGACTGTGAATTGCGCTGAAAGTCCAGCTGCTGATGGTGGCTATGATGATAGACACTGGCGGTGGCGGCCGTCTTGTAGCTAGCGGTGCGCAGCGGCGTGGCAACCACCGAGTTGAGTGGCAAATGGTTGGGCGGCTGGCAGTGGCGTCGCTGCAACGGCGACACAAAATGCGACGGCGTCCCGCTGCTGCTAGCCGTCGATGGGGCATCCAAATTGTTGACCGTCGAAGTGGTTGAGTGGTTGCTGCTAGCAGCGAGCTGTTGCTGCTGCTGCTGCTGCTGTTGTTGTTGTTGCTGTAGCTGCTGCTGCTGCTGCTGCTGCTGCTGCTGTGGATAGGGCGCTGCACCTCCAGCCTCCAGCTGCAGCAATTCGCTTTCCGTTTGCGTGTAGTAACTGCTGCCGGGCTGCTCCATCTTGAGCTGTTGTTGTCTGCTACCGCAGCTACTCATGCGCGGTGCGGGAGTGGGCTTCAATTTGTGGCTCAACTGGTTGCTGCAAGTAGATATATTGGACACTAGAGATTAGTCTATCACCATATTTCCTCTAAATTGAGCTGTAAGCAGATTACGATATACTCTAGAAATTTAAATACAGTTTAAGATAGCCAAGTTTAAAATTTAATTCAGTTGTATTTGTTTCAACGAGTTTGTTTATTTCTCACATGAATAAATTTAATTTAAGACTATTTATAATTTATAAAAAATATTTCGTCAGTATTTTTAACATATACAAGCATCAAAAGTCATCAGCCTTAAGCAATCTTGAGACAAAAACTAATCAAATTAAATTATAATTGCTTTATTCATCATAAATCATCAAGCTCTCTTGCGCTTTAGGAGCCCACCCATTATTACATAATGTGCTACATATAATTAATAGAGCTGCTACAACATATCCACTTGACTTTATGGCTTCTCTTGAATCCCCGCCCAGTCACATTTGCAAATCCTGTTGCATGCTAATTCGGTTGGCCTGAGACTTGGTAAATTGCGCATACGTAATGTTGCTCCATTTGCAGAAACGATATGCACAGTGGTATGGATATTATTAGAGCTATATGTGCATGGATATTCAACTGAATATTCATATTCATATGCGCATGATGAATGCTGACAAGCCCAATTTGCAATTAGCCGGCTGAGATATAGCGAAAACTCATTTAAATTCAACGCGCCGGACATTTCTAATCAGCCAACATGTTGCAGCTGCTGGCGCATGCGTGTTGCTGTCCAATTTATGAAATTTCGAAATTGCCAGCGCATGTCGGGCCATCAGCATGTGGCCATCACCATAGCCATAGAGTCATAAACTTTAGGCTCCGTCTCTGACCAATGTGGAATCTGCGTTCGTTCCCTGCCTGCCTGACTGGCTGGCCGACTAGCTGGCTGCTTGCTTGCTTCTTTCCGACTGCCGCATTTTCTGTGTACTTTCACTCGAAACACACTCTCGGCCGATTATGCAGCCAAGCAGCAGCAACAATTTGATATTGCTTTAGAAATTCCAGCGGCAACTTTTAACTTGCTTTTCATATGGCACCCAGCTTGCTCATGTTTCAGTTTTAATTTGCCTTTAAATACCCTGCTTATAGATGGCCGACTTGAAGGGCAGTTTGAATGCAACTCACTAATGTTTACATAATCAAGCGAGCATTCAATGGGAGACTAGGCATAAAAAATTTTATCTTAAGATAGAGCTGCATTAGTAAATGTTCTTTTGATTGACGGTACAAATACTCAAGACAGAAAGCTGAAAACTGAAGTCGTGAACTATCAAATTTTTTATAAAATCTCAAATAAACAGCTTGGAAATATTATACGTATTTTATCACATTGTTAAAAAAATAAATAAATAAAAAAATAAAATGATATGAAACAAATTTAAATTTTTTTTTTTTTTTAATATGAATTAATTTTTTTATGGCTTAAACTGAATCAGATTATTTTGTATTATATTTCTATATTATTCGCTAGTATAAATTCTATATTTTACATATTATCGTGAATACATCATCTTCAGCTAATACAAAATAATTCTATTCTAATAGCACACCTCAACAGGGCATTTGCTAGTCAATCAAAGCCCAACTCTCACATTCTTACATGATTTCTCTGTTAATTTCAGCTCGCCCGCGGGCCATAATTTTGTGTTTGGGTATTTCTGTTTATATTTTCTGTTTCTGTTTCTGTTTTTTAATTTCAGCAATTAAAGTCATTTGTGTGACTTAACGCCAAGTGCCTTATGCGTTTAGCTCTGCATATCAGCGTTGCAGTTGCGTGTTAGGCTCGACTTTTCGAGTTAAACATTCTCATTCATAAGCCTCTCTGGATTTATATCACATTGCACAACATCTGGAGCATGAACAGCAAACAAACAAACAATCGAATCAACAACAACCAGCTGCCTAATGTCCGAGCTGTAGCCTAATCAATGTGAGAAGCAGAGGCTAAAAGCAATTTGCCATCACGCCAAGCGATTTATTTGAATAACTTGTAAATTTATGCAAATGAATGATAACAAGAGAGCCTCTGACTCGGCCTCTGCTGCTGCCACTGCCTCTGTCGTTTGATCAGAGCCAAGTCAAATTTGTGTGGGGCTCTTTAATAGTAGCTATACGACTATAAGGCCTTGACTGCGCAGACCCTTTCGCCAAAGCACAATTTAATGGGTCTCGCACTCGGCAGACTGTAGACTGGGCTGGCTGCATGCAAAAGTGAATGTCTTGCAGCGTGTTGCATGTGTAGCTAACTGATGGGCATTTGCTATTAGCATTAACACCATGTTGTAGTTCAGCCGGAAGATCACCAGCGATAATATTAAACAGATCGTTAAAGAAAAAGAAACAGAAAATACGATTCCGCAGAGAGATGCTAGTGAAAGTTTTATGTGCTACGTTTTGTGGTTTTCCAATGCAAATTCCATTTGTTATGTTGGACAGTGCCAAAAAAAAGAGAGATAAAATAAAGACAGCAACAACAATCAAACATACACCTTATCCACATCTGCGTGCGATCAATCAAAGGGGGCGAAGACTAGAGCGTTGCTTTCTAAACGGCAGTCGATCCATTCATTGCGATTGTCAACTGCTGCCCAAACAAAGTCAAGGCATAATCTGTCACAAATGAATTGTGCGCCTGTTGATTGACTTTGATAGCCCAATACCAGCGTCAGCCCAATTCAAATCTGGCCAAAGCCAAAAATTTATAAAAAAAAAAAAATCAAATAAATTGATTGCCAAACATGGGCAAGACTGTTGACATACTCGCAGCTGTCCAGCGAGTCTCAGCTGTTGGCCAGGCTGGGTCGGTTTTCTCTTTTCGTGCAAAACGCCATAAGCAACAAGGACGGCTCGCATGGAGCTTAAGCAACTGCGGGATGATCTGCACTTTGTCGAAAGAAGTCTTTTTTTCAATGACATATTTTTCCTCAATTAGTTAGCGAAATACTGATTGATTGCAGAGTAGTTGGACTAGGTTTTACAATATATTTACTTGCATAGCGAATAAATATGTATAGAGTATTTGAAGTCAGTTAACTCTTGCGTTTCATTTCGTAGCTATTGCTTGCAATTTGATTCGCCATACGCAAACGGTCTAGCATGGAGCTGACGTGCATCTGACCAACTATGGTGCGATCTCTGACACATGCATAAATTTGGGTTAAGAAGATTTTGAGTTTCGAGCTTGAGTTTATTTGGTTTGATGTTTGTCATTTCCTTGATGTGTGTGTGTCACAACTAACCAGACGAACGTACGCTGGCATATGAGCATAATTAAAGTAAAGTGCTTGACACATACATATTGCAAATGGAAATAAAAGTAGAAATGGAATGGAATGGCTAGACAAGTTATTGCCACAGAGAATAGCTAAAATAGTAGGCCGACCCCATAGCCGATATATGTCAATTGTAATATTCTAGCTGGCAATAACTCTTTATCCGAGCTTATCCGAAACGCTATAACTTTCATTTCATTTATACTGCTGAGCCAATATTTGCTGCAGTTAAATGCCAGTTGATATAGTTGGTTTTACATTTTATCCGAGCTTATCCGAGATAATCCACATTATTATACATATATATTTTAACTCTTACAAATTTGATAACTGATTTTCGTGTTGTCCAACTTATCCGAATTAAAACAAGATTTAATTTTAGTTTAAGGTGCATTTATTTGTTATCCCTCTCACAAACCCTAATCTATTAATTAACACTCAAATCAAATTCATGGGCTTAATGGAGTACTTTGATTGGTATCCGAACCATATACGGAACTGTAATTCACTTAAATCCAATCGCTATAAATCCAGCTGCTTGATTTGTTATCTCTTTTCCGTGTGTTGTTGGCCAATGCAATATACAGCTCATTAGGTAACATTTCAGCAATTGCGGCACGTTTAATTCAAATGCCAATGCCGTGAGCCCGTTGCTTGGCTAATAATATCTCAATTATCCGCATCAGCACAGCTGATTGGCAGTGGCTATCCGGCAGTGTATAGCGAATGCATTTCAAATGTTGTCTTCTTTCCAATAGAGAGTAGCTGTGGCTGTATGGCCAGCGATTTCATTAAATTTTAGACACGCAGTTTCTCCAGAACTGGTTCAAAATCATTTAGGCACATACACACACACACACACATACAGAGACACACCTCTGTGTGTTGTGCTGATGTACCCCAACCAGTTTCCTAGAAACTGAGCCGAGAGAGAGAGAGAGAGAGAGAGAGAGAAGTTGCACTACGACACGCAGACATTCGGCTTGGTTCGGCTCGGGTGGGCAATTGAACTACGTGGAAATTAAAACGAAACATGCAATTCTTGGTAATTGAAAAATGTAGAAGAAGCAGCAGAGGCAACCGCAGCAACAACTGAACCGAATCCGCTTTAAATTACTTTCACAATTGGTCAAAAGATAAACTGTAGTCGACTATAAGTGAGAGAGAGAGAGCAGCTTGGGATTATCTGCACACGATCTGTGGATCTTGTGATTTGTAGCTGGCATTTAGGCCTAAAATGTGTGGTGGGGTGGGGGGGCGTTGGCAGCAGTTGATGCTCCAGAATCGAAAATGCGATTATATTAAAATGTTGCCACGTTTTGGGCGTGGCGCATCAGCAGAGTCAAGGCCCCCACACACTAAACTCTGTAGAGCTGCAACGAGTCGCTCTGTCTGCCGTGCCTTTTCCCAGCCCATTACGAAATCTGCGTGGCTCAGCCTCTAATTTGCCCTGACCTTGTTGCGTGCCTTTGTCTTGGTTTACACAAAAGGGGCGGCAGCAGCATAAAAAGCAGAGAGGCAGAGAGAGATAGAGAGAGAAATACTTTATACATATAAACAACAAGCGAAACAGACCAGTTTATATATGTATGTGTATAGATTTATAGACATTTTCTTTTTTTTTAGAGTTCCAGTTGCATTTGACTCGAGCTTGCGTCACACATAACAAAGGCCCAAAAGCAAACAAGTCACGTGTGTGTGACTGTGTGCAACACGTGTTG